TTTTTATTAGAAATGCTGTGCGCTTGTGCTCCTTACTAAGAGCCGAACTACAATGAAAACAGATTGCTGACAGAGCACAAAGCCAACTGTTGTTCGGTATGTTCACAAAAACGTAGTTAGTGTTGCCAGCTCTTTAGAGTTTCGACAAGCCTCGAAAAAGCTAGATCATCCTACAGGTTCGCAAATCCTGTTCAACTCCCAAAATAAAAAGGCTAGAACGCGCTATTGACAAATTGGAAACTAAAGGAAAAATAAATTTTTTCAAATAAATAATTTAATTCAATTAAAGAAGGAGCTATGTATATAAAATGCGGGAGTATTTCGGCTAAAAGTAATATAATTCAATGTTGTCATAATTCCCGCCAGCTGTTATTTCGCAACTTTTCCCTCGTTCTGTTTGTTAAACGCCAGAACTGACGGGAAAATAGCCAAGCTGACAACAATCAATGTTGACTTGAGCTAAGTTTGGTTGAGATTTCGAATCAAATGTTTCATACTTTCAATGGAAATCAGAATCTTATGTCAACTGTTTTATAAATGCATGTATATGTATATATTATTTAATGTATATTCTAATATCCTAAGATAAATTTATAGCTTTGTTTGCAGCCTGCAGTCTTTTGTAATGGTGTATGTGATTCAATTGTGGATGTTGTTGTTACTTAACGGAACTTCACGTGAAACTTCCGTTAATTTTATTTAACTGTTACCAGCTTTCGAACGTTATGATAATGTTACTTAATATCTTTCTGATTTACTATCTTTATTTAACAGAATTGCTCCTCACTAAGCCGACGCAGAGTCGGCATGCCGTATTACATGATCTGCTATTAACAGTGGCTTTACAGAAGTCGAGCCTTGTTGCGTTAATTTGCTCTTTATTGCGTTACGTTAAGCGCCTTGCGTTAGTAAACTGAAATATGTAGAAGCGGTACCACCTGTTAATATTACGTGTGCTTAACGTAAACAAGCTTAGCTTTTAGAAGCATAAACAACACCAACCGCGTCGGACGTGTATCGCGCGCAAATGCAAATTGTTAAATTAATTTTTAGTGGTAGTAACGTAATAAGAAAAATAAAAAAATAGCGAATCATACAATATTATAAATTGATGGCATAAAGTGACAAAAAATTAATCATTTATTCAAAGATGTTCAACATCAAAACAAATATGTATAACCGATTTTGTCAGTTAAAAGTGGCCGCTTAAAGCTCGGCTTATGTAAATTTATAGCCGAATACCTAAGCATGTTGGCATTTATGTATGTTGATTTGTATATACAAGTGTAGCGTGCCGGGCTATCGTTTTGTGCGGTTGAGTGTTTCGATTCCGTTGCCGGTGCATAGTTAATTTTGCACAGAGTGAAAGAGTTAAGAGTTACGGGCTTTTAATTCCTACAATAAAGCCCCAATTCAAGTGCAGAACGAAGCTATGAAAAGAGTGTAAACTTAAAGAAAATTTACACATACACACAAACATGCACGGTCGCTCGCATACATAACGATCATTCAGTATTGCTTCTTCTTTTTGCGGGACGTGTTGCGCCTTAGCTTACCTGAGTGCAGGAGTGAGAGCGCGATAGCGTCTGCTTGTGTGAGTGCGTGTGTTAAAGCAAAGCAAACGAGAGAGCGACCGAACGAGCGGAGTGGAGTCAAGCTTTTAAGTTAAAGTTCTTTAGCTTGCGTCGGCGTAGCGTTGGCAGCGACATCAACAGCAACAACAGTCACAATAATAACAGCAACAACATCAACAGGTTAGACTTGTCTACAGGTTAGTTGGCAGTTTTTCTCTCTCTTTCTCTTCCAATCTTGCTTACTTTTGCATGCATTTGCACTATATTTCTTAATCTCACCAATTAGAATTGTTGCGACAGAACGTTGGGAATGGTTTGCGTTTAGCTTTTAAATGCGGTTGGCTCGTCTGCAGAGCTTTTTTCTTTACGCCTGGCCATTTATCAAATGAATCAGCCAAGACGGCGTTAGACCTCCCCTTCGCTCTCAATGCCATTTGCAAATTCCTATTCAACCATTTTTGCTGACCAAAACAGATTTTGATCTGTCAGCGGGAACTCTACGTGACGAATATTTGTCTGATATATTTAAACATGTGAATCTACAGTAAAGCCTCGTAAAGGCGGATTCGTATTGTTTCAAGCACTCTCTGAATTATGTATACAAATTGTATGAAGTTGTAATACTGATTATAATTAAAAATTGTTGATTTTAATAATATTAAAAATATATGACTACAATTTACTGTTTGGTGTTGCAAATATCCGAAGTAGACAGGCTCTATCTAAAAATAGCTACGCATTGCTTTCGAACTTTACGCTATTTAGAGCTAAACTAATGCCAGACCTAACTTGGTTATAAAATTATTTATTTAGACGAAGCCTTAGGGATTTTCACAGCTCGAAGCCTAATTCTACAGTCTTGAAGCGAAATTCATTATTATTAAAATTAAGATATTTCTATAGATATTGATATATTCAACTGTCAACGAACTTTATTCAGTCAGTAATTATGTGGGTTTTGTAAGAATTAAATTTTTATTTTCATTTTTATTCAAACGAATAAAAAGATATTTTATTATACATTATTCGTTGTTTGAATTCATTTTAAGCTTATGCTTACAGTGTATTATATATATATTATTAATTAATGAGCCATGAATCATACATTACTTATTAAAATGAAATATCTAGTTTAAATATTTGTAACTCTTTGAAACTAAGAAAATATTTGCTCGGCAAAATTTGCATATTCATTTTTTATTTATATAAAAA